TTCTCTGGTCCCCGGCAGCAAAGGTGTCGCTTGGTTCCTGCTCTGTAATGGGAGGCCTGGATTGAATTCCCGAGTCCCAGCTTTGATGTCCAGTATCAACCACTGTAGCCAACTGGCAGGGAGCCAGCTGATGAGACCTCTCTCTGCCTCTCAAATAAATGAAACTTACAAAGTAAGAATTGGATGTTTTCTAAAATGAAATCGCAACCTTTCAGTTAAAAATAAAAACACATTTTTCATAAAAAATTACTAAGTAATCACATCTAATTATTTAAGTGACAAGTATGACTATACACAAGATTTTCTAAAATATGAAAAATCTGCCCATGGATAACTAAAAATTAACTACAGAGAGAAAAATACATTTAATTATATTACTTAAGTTCAATATTTTATGTGCAAATTACCAAGTTTATTTATCTCATGACATTAATTTAAATCACTGTAACCACTCACTCTAATATACAATATGAAAATGTGCATTAATTACCTAGAAGCTTAGGTAAAATCATTAGGATGTTTAACTTGTTGCTATTGTTAAAAAGAGGAAATGCATTCCAAAGTCAAAAGTAGAAAAGCTTGAAGTTACTGTTTCAGATGTTCTATACTACTTGTATCTGCTACAATTAATCTAAATAATTAATTATACTTTCACCAGTACCTCATTACTCATGCTCAAGCTTGCCATGTTACTGTCACCTACTTACTAACCTAATAATTCAATCCCATAACTTTGCCTACCTACTCATCCACTTTATTTTCTATCCACCCTTTCATCATCGAAGTAGCAATTACTGACTCTTTAAAGTTGACATATATGTGTAGGCATATTTACGTAAGCCTTTTTTTTATATTACACAGTGCAGAGATCAATAAATACCCCTTAAGGAGTCTGGAACAGAGTGAGTGCTGGGTATGTGTGTGATCCCCCAGCCAAGATACCATGACATGATGAGAAGATGGCCAACAGACAGTGTTAACACATAAAGTTAAAAACTAACTGAAGTGAAAAGAAATCTTCATAGTACAACTTTTGGAATTATGAAAATTCTTGTTTGGGCCCAGCACAAAGGGTCAGAGCCTAATCCTAGCCTTGCACGCACTGGGATCACATATACTTTAGTTCAAGTCGCAGATGCTCTACTTTACACCCAGCTCCCCGCTTACGGCCCGGGGAAAGCAGCAGAGGGTGGCACAAGTCTTTGGAACCCTGCACCTGTGTAGGAGACCTGGAAGAAACTCCTGGCTCCTGATTTTGGATTGGCTCAGCTCTGGCTGTGCGGCCATTTGGGGGAGTGAACCAGAGGACAGATCTTTTCTTCTGTCTCTCTTTCTCTCTGTAAAGCTGCCTTTCCAATAAAAAATAAATAAATCTTAAAAAAAATTCTTGTTCATTTGTCTGTTCAATGTAGTCTTGTAATCTCTCAAATTTGCTCTTTAAGTTCTAAGTATGACAGTCTTGCAATGTAAGTATTCACATCTCACAATACTGAATACCTTTATCTGGCTGCCACTGGAGCCCTTGGGCTCTGAATTTCTGGGAAACATCCACATTATTTCTCAAATCACTAATTAGTTGACGGTCTTGTTAACCTGCTACCACACATACGCCTGATGTTGTGCTGGGTACTGTGGAGGAATATAAACATGTATGCCTCCTATTTCCTATTCTCCTTAAGCTATAAGCCTAACTGAAGAAAACAACGTTGAAAATTGACTAAAACCAAAAGAATGACAAAGGTTAAAAAAAAAAAAAGCAGTAGGCTTACTGCCATGGCAATTAGAACTACACAGGATTTAAAGCAGGAGTAGAGAAATTTTCTGCCACAGGCCATTTCAAGTACCACCTGCCATTGTGTTGGCAGGGTTGGACCAGATGATTTATTTGTATGGCCTGTGGGCTAGATGATCCCCACTCCTGTTGATGGACGATTCAGATTAAACACAGTGGTGGAAAAAAAGGAAAAACTGGAAGTCATAATCTGTCCTCTGATTTTCATGACAATATACTTTTTATTTGAAATACAGAGTTATAGAGAGAAACAGAGACTGAAAGGGAGGGAAGGAGGAAGGGAGGGAGAGGGACGGAGAGGGGGAGAGAGAGATGGGGGGGGGGAGAGAGAGAGACAGAGAGAGACAGAGACATCTTCCATCTGCTGGTTCACTCTTCAAGTGGCTGCAACAGCCAAGCCAGAGCTCGGCTGATTTGAAGCCAAGAGCCAGGAGCTTCCTCTGGGTCTCCATGTGGGTGCAGGGGCCCAAACAATCGAGCTAATCTTCACTGCTTTCCCAGGCCATTAACAGGGAATTGGATTAGAAGTGGATCGGGACTTGAACCAGTGTTCACATAAGATGCTAGCACCAAAGGCAGAGGCTTAGCCGACCATGCCATAGCACTGATCCTGTCAACATACTTTTTATAGACTTATATGCCTATAAACACTATCTCTGAATCCCATGGCCACTGTTCTTCAAGTATTATTATTGTAATCATTTATTAAGTCCTGTCCTTTGCTCTTTTTTAAAAATTATGATTCAAGGGATCCTATCTCACAATTCTAATGACCAATTATCTTATACAGATAATTATAAACTTTCTTATTAATTTCCAGTTCCATTCAGATTACAGTGGCTGATACCTCCGGTCTTTAACTTATACTCGGAAATTCTCTACTCAATATGAATATATTTTTTATTCTTCATTTTCCCTATTGCTCTCCTTTAAGATATTATTATGGACCAATCTGATATTTTTTGTTATTGAAGTTCTACAATATCCATCACCTCTAACACAGATTTAATCACATCTTAGATTGCAGTAGGTTATATGTATACGTGTGTGTGTATTTATACATATATATGTAAACTTTGGGAGATATATATATCCTGTCTTTAACATAACGTTATATGCTTTTACAATACAGAAGTTACACTCTGGGGCTGGGCTCACAGGTTAATCCTCCACCTGCAAGCACCGACATCCCATATAGGCACTGATTCTAATCTTAGCTGTTCTACTTCCAATCCAGCTCTATGCTTAGGACCTGAGAGGGTGTCAGAGGACGGCTCAAGTCCTTGTGTCACCTTTGTAGGAGACTCAGAAGAAGCTCCTGGCTCATGGCTTTGAATTGGCTCAGCTCCTGTCATTGTGGCCAGTTAGAGGGTGAGCCAGTGAATGGAAGATCTCTCTTTGACTCTCCACTCTGCCTTTCAAATAAAGAAACAAAAATTAAAGAAGTTATACTTTACTTTTCCTATATTTTTATTTATTTATTTTGAAGATTTATTTATTTTTATTGCAAAGTCAGATATACAGAGAGGAGGAGAGAGAGAGAGGAAGATCTTCTGTCCAATGATTCACTCCCCAAGTGGCCGCAAACGGCCAGTGCTGCGCTGATCTGAAGCTAGGATTCAGGAACTTCTTCCAGGTCTTCCACATGGGCACAGAGTCCCAAAACTTTGGGCCGTCCTCGACTGCTTTCCTAGGCCACAAGCAGGGAGCTGGATGGGAAGTGGAGCTGCCGGGATTAGAACTGGCACCCATATGGGATCCTGGAGCGTTCAAAGCAAGAACTTTAGCCGCTAGGCCATGCTGCCAGGCCCAGGAAAGACTGATTTTAAAACACAAAAAGCAGGAGACAAAGTTGGAAGGCAAAAGAAAGCAAATTAAGAAGAAAAACAATGCATCAAAAAATATATATATTGAAATCATATTCCACACCAGCACACAAGGAGAAAAATGATGCAATAGACTAAGATTGATAGGCTGCAAAATAGCTGAATGAAAGACATGTTTAAGTAAATGCAATGCTCTTGATTTTAAAGATGAGAAATTTCATTCTTTCCATTTCCAAAACTAGAAATCTAGAAGAAAAAAAAATACAGAATATCTTTGGTGTATTTTTTTCTAATTTCTCTTGTTAATCCATTATCAGTTCCTATCTTTTTCCCCCTAAATATTCTGCAGGTCAAATTTCACCACTTCCACTCTACTCTAAGGTTCCAACATCGCTTAACTAAATTACTGCAAAGTGCCCAAGAAGTTCCTAATCATATTGTCTAAGCTTTCAAATTTAAAAAGAAATTGAGTCAGATATTTCTAAATCTCTTCTCTGTGAAGTTTGAAATCCAGCTCCTAGCAACACAGTAGTTAGTCACGCCCTCTTCATGCTACCTTATCTGCTACACAAGGGATGGTAAACAGCTGATGAACAAATCTGGCCTTCTCTTGTTTTTGCAAATAAAGTTTTATTGGGATACAGGTATTTGCACTTGCTACATATTGCCCAAAACTGCTTTCACACCATAATAGAGGACTGCAGAGTCGTGATACAGACCAGGTCACTAAATAAGCCTAAAATCTTCATAGAAGACGTCTGCCAAATTCTGAACTATACCATTGTAGTTACATTTCACCTCGTTCAAAACAAGTAATAATAGAAGGTGACATCAGGAACTTATTGAATTGGTGCTGTTCCAAGTAATTAGGTATGTTACCGGAATTAATTTTTTAAAAATATCTGACCACAATATAGGGCAATTCTACCTGGCAAAGTTTAAAAGATTTCATCATGGGCCTGGCGCAATAGCCTAGTGGGTAAATTCTTGCCTTGCATCTGCTGGGATCCCACATGGGCACTGATTTGTATCCTGGCTGTTCCATTCCCCATCCAACTCCCTGCTTGTGTCCTCGGAAAGCAGCAGAGGAAGGCCCAAGGATTTGGGACCCTGTACCCATGTGGGAGACAAGAAGCTCCTGGCTCCTAGCTTCAGAGTAGCTCAGCTCCAGCTGTTGTGGCCACTTGGGGAATGAATCAGTGGATAGAAGATCTTTCTCTATGTATCTCCTGCTCTCTGTATATCTGCCTTTCCAATTAAAAAAATCCTTTAAAAAAATGTTCCATCATGTTTAATTTCTATTTTAGAACTGGTTACTCTTATGGTTTTTAAGCATAAAAATAATTCAACATCTGAAATAAGCTTTTATTAACAAAACTCACCTGCCATCACGCGACCTGTGCAGGCTGCCATGGTAGCTGCTCACTTTGCTGTGGACGCTCCCTGCTTTGCTTCTCTGATCATCCACCATAGCCAGCTGAGTGGAAGAGGCATGTGTGGATGTTCCTTGAGTGGAAGTTCCTCTTGATTTTCTTATAATAGGAGTGTTGGGATCCCTAAGGAGTGACTGGGCAAAATCGGGTTCCTGGAGGACCTGTCGGCTCTCATTCACTATCCTGGACAACAAAATAGGAAGTTTAAGATGTAAAAATCTCTGTTATCCAATAAACAAAGTACTGTGCAAAACTGACATTATTACCTGAAATTAATTACTCTACAAAATATGTCTTTGGGACCAATGTAAGGTAATAATGTCAGCACATGGAAGAATATAACTTCTCCCCACCCCATATCAGTCTCCTAAAGCGGTATGATGGAAAGAGGCCTATGTTAGAAGAAAGAAATCAGGTTTTTTAATACGGGTTCTTCTTGTCCTCCTGCCACTATGGCAGAGCACTAGGGTCTTCTTTTTACTTTTCCTCCTGCCACTATGGCAGGGGGTAAGGGGCCTTTCTATCTCAAAACCCCCTCCCGTCGCTAGGATGGGAGTCTCCTCAGCTTTTCTAATAAATCTTGCGTTAAAACTAAAAAAAAAAAAAAAAAAAAAAGAAGAAGAAATCAGGTTTTTAGTTCCAACTTTACCAATAAACATAATCTTAGGCAAGTTGCTATATTATCTTTTACATGATAACAAGTAAAATAATAATGAACAAAATCTAATTGAGGAGCTATATTTATAAGTGTCTTAATTTATTTAAATATGAGAATCAGATTTTAAAGTTACATTAAAAAAACTTATTTACACATTTGAGAGACAGACAATTCCATTTACTGGTCCACTCCCCAAATGCCCTAAAGCAGGGACTGGGGGCTGGGCAGAACCCAGGGACTGGGAATACAGTCTAGGTTTCCCATGTGGGTGACAGGAGCCGCAGTTCCTAGACCATCTCTGACTCTCAAGGTCTGCACGGGCAGCAAGCCGAAGTTAGGAGCCAGAGCCAGGAATCAAATCCAAGTACTTGGATGGGGGACATGGGCAGGCACTTTAACTGCTAGACTAAATACTTTTTCTTCTAAAGTTAAAAATAAGATGTATAATTTCATTTAAAAAAAAACAAGATTAGGTCATATATTCATAAAGAACCTGAATAGTATAGTCTAAGTTTTTAAATTACGTGAGAACTGGGCCCGACATGGTGGCTTAACTGGCTAACTTAATATAATGGTATGGTAGCTTAACCTCTACCTCCAAGTGCTGGCATCCCATACAGGTGCTGCTTTGTGTCCTGAATGTTTCACTTCCCATGCAGATCCCAGTTTGTGCTCTGAGAAATCAGCAGAGGATGGCCGAAGGCCTTTGGATCCTGTACCTATGTGGGAGACCTGAAAGAAGCTCCTAGCTCTTGGCTTTGAATCAGCTCAGCTCCAGGCACTGTGCCTACTTGGGGAGTGAACCAAAGGATGAAAGGTCTTTCTCACTGTCTCTCATTCTCTCTATAAATCTGCCTTGCCAATAAAAGTAAATAAATTAAAAATTACATAAGAATTTTTATTATTTGCTGTTATTTTTCATGCTGAGGTAGAAGGGCTGAGGAGAATGAATTATTTGTTGAGTATTTTATATACACATGCTCATTTAATGCTTTTAGTGATATTCATAATTTTTTAAAGTATGGAATATACAGAGAGATGAGGAATAACTCTGTGAAGAAACAAAATGCATCTATCACAATCCAAAATTCAGGATCATGCTACCAGGCACACCAGAAGCCACCAGGATATTTGCATTAAAGTCACGAATACAAGAATACCGCTGTCACTCTTGATTAATTTTATTTCAATAGCTCTAGGCTGCAATTACACCTCCTCCCCCAAAAAATCAGTTATAAAACTTTTAGCATCTACTGCATCAGAATAAAGTAACAGCTTATCTCTTTATCACTGCTTGTATACTAGAAGAGCAATGAACAATCAGAAATGGAAGCTTAACTCTTTAAATACCTCGTGACTTTGGCCAAGAGCTTAACCTCTTTTTGTCTTAGCTTTATGGTCTGTAAAACACAAATGAAAACCCACACAAACCTTTGCAGGAGTATCAGGAGGATTATGAAAGAATGTATAAAAAACATTCACTTGTTTTTTTAAGAAAACTATGGGCATCTGGCATGGCAGTAAAGATGCCAGTTGGGATGGCCATATCCTTAGATTGGACTGGTTGGGTTCGAGACCTGGCTCTGCTGCAGACTCCAGCTTCCTGCTGATACAACCTTGGGCTCAAATGTTGACACCCTGTCACCCAGGTGGTAGACTTGTTTAGAGATCTAGGCTTCTGGCTTCAGCCTAGCCCAGACCTGGTTACTGTGGGTACTGGCATCTGGCGGGGGGGGGGGGGGGGAGGAGAATTAATCTCTCTCTCTCACAAAATTTTTTTGCCTTTCAAACTTTTTTTCTTAAGAAAATCACCATTTTTGTTATAGCTAATAATTTATTTAAAAGACAGTTACAGAGAAAAGGGCAGATATATATATAAATATTTCTTCCTTCCACTGGTTCAGTCCCAAACGGCCACAACGGCCAGGATCGGGCTAGGCCTGTGGGATGCCAGTGTTGCAGGTGGCACTGGTTTTACATGGGGTGATACTACACTTGTCCCATAATTGGGATTTTTTTCCCCATAAATATTCTTCATCCTCTAAATAGTATGAATTATTTCAGGAACATACCTCAAGCTTAGTGTTACCTGGCTGTTTTTCTCAAAATAAATGTTTTAATTAAAACATGCTATTGTACCAATTGTAACTGGTCACTTCTGGCAAGGGTATAGTCACGAGTTAATATTTCTCTATACACAACATGAATCATAAATAAGCCTTTGACGTAAGCACTGCAAAAAACTTTCATAAAGGTGAGATGTGTGAATATTGTGACATTAAAACTTACTCTTTTTTCCGACGACCATGGAAGAAACTGGCCCATTCAAAACATGTCTTTTTGCTTCCAACCCAAAATACAGATGGAATGCCAACTATGAGAGCCATCAGGTATTTCATGAGGAATAGAATCAGGTCTGGACGACTCATTTGAGTCACCTACAAGAAAGTAAAGAAAAATATCTTAAGCCTATAAAAAACTTTCTACTAAAAGGTCTTATAAAAACATTTAAAATAAATAGTAAAATATTCTAAATATTTGATTTTTCACTTACAAGTCTATAGGTAATTTTCTTGTTAAACAGAAAATTCATATTCTCTATACTGGACTACATATTGTTTTATTAGCTAACATTAGACATCTTCTAAAGAAAAAGATTATTATCTTAGAAAATAAACCACGTATAGAAAGAAAGGCTCAGATCATATCTAAATTCCTCTTGGTTAATTTCACAATGAGGAAGTATTAATCTCTTCCTTCTATTAATTTTGTTCTTGGGTTTACTATGACCTTCATTCATCTATTCTATTTTTATGCTTCCTCTTCATAAAAGTGAGCTTTTGAGAAAGTCCCTTTTATAGTTTGTAGTAAGATAACCTTTTAAAAACTTTAAAAAACAAATCTGGCATTGTGGTACAAAGGGTAAAGCCACTGCCTGTGATGCTAGCATCCTCCAACGCACGAGTCTGAGTTCTGGCGGCTCCACTTCTGATCAACTACCCTGCTAATGAACATTAGAAAGCAGCCCAAAGACTCAGGCCCCTGCACCCATGTGGCTCCTGGTTTCCGATCAGTGCAGCTCTGGCCATTGTAGCTGCCTGGGGAGTGAATCAATGGATGGAAGATCTTCCTCTCTGTCTCTCCTTCTCTCTGTATATCTGACTTTACAATAAAGATAAATAAATCTTTAAAAAGTATAATTAACTAAAAGCCTACAATTTGTTTTTTTTTTTTGCTTTCACTTTTTTTGTTGTTGTTGTTGTTGTTAACATTGTATTATGTGATACAGTTTTATAGGCACTGGGGATTCCCCCTACCCCTCCCATACCCCTCCCCCCATGGTGGATTCCTCCACCTTGTTGCATAACCACAGTTCAAGTTCAGTTGAGATTCGTTCCTTGCAAACACATATCTAGCATAAAGTCCAGCGTCTTATTGTCCAGATAAGTTCAGTGGCCTCTTGGGGAGACCTTCTCTAGTCTGAAGATAGGGCTAACAGAGTAAAGCCTACAATTCGTAAAAAAAAAAAAAAAAAGGTCAAAAGATGCATTATTTACAGAAAAAAATACAAGAGTTCAGAGTCAGTTAAAATTATACAAACCCTCTATCTCTTAACCTATCAATAAGAGGCAAATGTCTAATAGTATACTGTGGAGAAATAGATACTTTCATATACTGGTATTATAGTAAATTTTCTGTTGCTGTAACTGGCTATAACTGAATACCGTCATTTGTACTTAGATAACTCTGAACGGATATATACAAATTTTTTATAATACTCCAAGGTATCCTTGCGGAGGGCTGTTTAGAAATTAGATAATACAGTGAAGGACAGAAGGACCTTGCCTGTACACTTTTTGTAGATTTGGGCTTTGAATAAGGTCAATATTATGCATTTTAAAATTCTTAAAAGATTGTGAAAAAAATAGAGGATTTAATTATTTTAAAAGCATGGGCATTCTAAACATAAAAGCAAGTGATTGGAAGGTTATTAGGAAACACTTTCCAGGCTGGCACAGAAATATACATCTAATTGACATGTTGCAATAATCAATAGCTGTAGTTTTTGCAAACTGTAGTAAGTATGGTTTTCTGTTTAAGGTGCAGTGACTTTCTGTCTATAAACCACTGTTCTTCTGAGGCAGACTTTCAGTTCCCCTAAATGCATTTGGGGATAACTTTCTCAAGGTAATCCGAAGCTTTCCCGACCTCTCCTTGCTCTCTGCCTATTAAAAACTGTAGTTTTTTTCTACTGTTTTCAGAACCTTCTTTTACTGTATCTACCACTTCCAGAACCAGATTTATAACACCACAAGGTTTGCCCGAGATTCTTTCATCAAAATTTCTCTCTTTAAGGGGTTCATAATTTCTTTATTGCTGTCCATTATAATTTTCAAAATCACTTTCGTTTCCATTACTACCATAATAAAATTTTCTCCTTCACTATAACTCTCCCATTCCACTAAATCCACTCCCCTGGTTTCCACAGCCTGGTCTATCACCACCAGTGTCCTCTGCAAATATAACTTCTGCTCTGTCTTATAACTTCTAAGGTTTCAACCTTGCTGTTCTTCTCAAAGTAGTCACTCAAATTATATTCCATATCTGCTTTAAGACTACCAGCAAAGACCTCCCTCACCGTTAGGTGGCACCACGCTTTACTGAATCCTCTCTAGAAAGAACTCTTGTGGTTCCACCACACAGCCATCAACTTTGTGTGGTTCAGTATGCATTGCTACCCTTTATTACAAGAACAAGTTACAAAACCAAAGCCCTTGCAATGCTTCATTTTGGGGAGTCTCTTATTACCTTACAGTCTGTGAGCACGCCCCCATTTCTCAAAATGCTCTCTCAAACTATCATCAGTAGTTTCAGACCAGCAATATACAGTTGTCTCAGCTGCTCTAGTCCCTTTGGATCATGGCCCTCTCTTTGGAGACTGAATCCCAATCATTAGGTGGAATGAGGAAAAAAAAATAGAGATGTGTTAGTATATGCTTAACGGCTGTCTCTGTGTGGAGAGCAGCCATTGTTTGCAGAATGTGCCAATGTCTGTGGCCATTTTCAAGCTACCAATGTGACATCACTAAATATGGACTCATGGAGCGCTCCAGGTAGTGGACTCTTTTGAACCTGTGTGAGCCAGCTCTTGCATACAGCCAGGTGTAAACTCGTGTGCCAAGTATGATCACTACTACTCTGCATGATTGCAGAGTCACAAAGTTTTAAAAATCAAAAAGTTTAGAAAGTTACAGTTCAGGTGGGCTTACTGAAAATGTATTTTATAAAGCTTATTGCAGTCTACATGTATGGTATTTATAAGTCTACAGTAGTGCAGGATAATATCCTGTGTCTTCACATTCACTGGCCACTTGGCTCAGTGAGTCTCGAGCAACTCCCACCGTGTGAGTTTCATTTCTCTTTTTTTCTCATTATAAAGTTGCTTATAAACAGAAAATAAATCATAAACAATCTTCTCTATTAAATATTTTTGGCATAGGGGTACATTTTTTTAAACTTTTAAATGAACTTGATGAGATCTGTAAAACTTTCTGCTGAACCCTTCACTAGATTTTCTTGGAAATTCTTCACCTCTCCTTCAGTTACGTGCTCTTGCTCCAGTCCCAATAATTTCTCATTAATCAATTCCACCACTAAAAGCTCCTTCCATCCTCATCACATTCATGTTAAAGCTGCTTGCCATCAGCCTTGTTGATTTCTGCAACTTCTGCATCCTTTGTGACTGCTCTAGAAGTCAAAATTTCTTGAGCATCTTCTTCCAGATGCCATTTATACACTCCTTGGTTAATTACAAGCCCAAGCAAGATTTTTGATATAGTCAAATATTTTGTAATCCTTCCATAATTGCACATCTTGTTGGTGTTTTGTTTTTGTTTTTGTTTTTTCAGTTTTAACAATGGCCTAGTCAAAGATTCTCCTCAGGTAGTTGACTTTCTAGAGCTCTCTGATCCACAGATGTTTCCAGGGAGAAATTCCATTGTGAAGTTAGGATGACCATACGGGACCTACAGGTTAAGACACAGATTTCTTAATGTCTTAATCTGTAGGTCCCATATGGAACTGTGGGAAATATGGGAGTTAGGTCTCACCTAGTGCGCCTGGGTTTGCTACCTGGCTTGAGCTCATGAGCAACTTTCTTACAACATATTAACCCTTGAAGTTAGTGGTGATGGTTTAAGTAACTGGGTTCCTGCCACCCATACTAGAGTCCTGTATTGACCTCCTTGTTCCTGGCTTTAGTTCAGCCCAGTCCCGGCAGTTGTGGGTATTTAGGGGAATGGGTTAGTGGATGGGGAGATTTCTGGGTCTCTCAAACTATTTTTTAAATGCAGACATATGGAAGCATTATCAGCAATAAGCAGAATCATGAAAGGTGTATTATTCTTCAAACAGTACAACTCATTGGCATAGCAATTCTGAGGCCATACTGGAAGAAGAACTGAGTCGTACATGACTTCTTAATGCTCCAGGAATACACTGGCCTTATGTACCCTGGTCTCCTCACTGTCAGCTCACAATTGGTTTCAACTTATAGCAGACAACATTGTACTGAAGTAAAACTGTGATCCTGTCCCTATAAGCTCTTAAACCTGGCATTACCCATGGCTTTTTTAAGGATAAAAGCCTGGGGCTGGTGCAATAGCACATTGAGTTAAGCTATTGCCAGCAAGGCTAGCCTCTCATATGAGTGCTGGTTCAACATATGGTTACTTCACTTCCAATCCAGCTCCTTTTTAATGAGCCTGGGAAAGGAGCAGAAGAAGGTCTGAGTGACTGGGTCTGCATACCACATGGAAAATTAGGATATAGGTTCTTAGTTTCAGCCTGGCCTAAACTCTGTCATGGCAGACATTTGAGGAATGAGCCAGTGGATGGAAGATTTCTCTTTGCTTGTCCCTCTCTCTCTGTAATTCTGCCTTTCAAACAAATAATCTTTTCTTCTTTTTGAGAAAAAAGATGAAAGTCCTTTGTGGCATATTTCCTGAATTTTCAGGTCATTCAATTTTCCTCTACAATCAGTTTAGTCTCCAGATACCCCCAGCTTCCTTCCCATCAGTACTTGCAGACTCACTATTCACTTCCACATGCTATGATGAATAATGATCCTTGAACTGTTCAAACCACCCAGGGTTGGCAGTAAATTCAATGTCATAGTTATATCCAGCTTTTTTCTCAACACCACAAACTCTGCATTGACTGTGATCATCCTAGTTCAAGGAGAGATGTGTTTGTTTTTGGTCTCTAATTGTTTCTCCATATGTAGAAACAAGATGGTGGAATAGGGCAAGAACACGTTTAACCAGTTGGAGAATGATGAGCTAAGATGAAGCAGAGGCCGCAATCCAGAGAGATAGGAGAGGACAGGGAAATAGCAGAGGGTCACCTGGAGACCTGTGGACATGGGGAAACAGTGGAA